GTGAGAGTAAAGTGTACGAGGAAAGGATAAGGGCTGGCCGGGGTGTCGACTGACGCTGCAGCCAATGACTGTCTCTCTGTTTGGGGACCCCCCCCGGCCCCCCCCCCCCCCCCTCCGTCTCCCTTCGCTCACGTCTGCTTCTTTAACGCCAGGTTCCTCTCTTCTGTCCAATCAGGAGTAGATGGTGATGACCTCACTTCCTCCGCCTCTGACCAACAGGACGCGCTCCAGTCCTTCCGTTAGAACTTCGAGGAACTCCATGTCTGGTGGACGAGTCAAGGGAAGTTTTCACGCCGAGCACAGACAACATCACATTCTGACCCACGTCACGTCGACCTGGAGCCGTTAAACCTGCGCATGGAGCAAACGTCAGGAACTGAGAGCAACAGATGAGACAATGTGTGAATGCAGACGTTCAAACCAAACGCTTCCTCTACGACCAGCGGTGATAAGGATACAGTTCTCGTCTCCCTCTGTGTTCCTCGGGGGTCCTGGCATGTTGAGCAGGACGAGTCGGGCGTCGTGGGACTTGTTGACGATGACCTCGTTGAGTTTGACGGCAGTGTGCATCCGCCGGACGTTGGAGTGGTCCCTGAAGGAAAAACAGACAGCGCGTTAAAAACAAGCTTTCGCTCCACTGGACTGTAATCCAAGATGGAGGACACATGAACACTTGAGAGAACGGATGATGACGTAATCTGTAACATGCGGAGTTCAGTTCGGGCTCAGACAGTTGTGGGAGCCGTCATGGCTTCCATCTTTCTTTACAGGCTGTGACCTTGTGTCCACTCACGGTCTAATGCTGAGCATGTCTCTGAATCCCTCGGGCGTGGAGCAGCCGGAGTGAGCGGCCCTGTAGTGCAAAGTCTTCTCTTTGGTCCACGTCATCTGAACTCGTCGGTTGTGTTCGCAGTTGCTGGCTCCTCCGCTGCTGCCGCCGCCGCCTCCACCACCTCCGCCGCCACCGCCACTCGGCGCCCTGTCTCGCTCGCCGCCGTCCGTGTCGTCGTCGTCGTCCGAGCCGATGCTCGTCAGACGCAGCATGGAGTTGCGGTCCTTCACCAGCTGGGCCTGACGGACAAACACAAACATGTTGTTGCTCATCTCGTCACCTTTTCGACCTTTGTGTTCTGACACCTCCCTCCTCTACATCACTGCTCAACTCCTGACTCCTGTCTCTCTGTCCGTCTCCGTGCAGGAGTCGGAGGTGACTCCTGCACCTGGAGGAAGGACTCACCTACAACACAAAGTCACCTAATGCGCTAAAACAAATAAGGAAACAAAGGCCGCTCTGCTCTAGAAGAGGCACTGGGGAGGAACTACAGGGACACGACAGCTTTAATCTGAGATTCAGAAGTGAGGGATGAAAAGAGAAGTGAAGAGTCAAATGAGAGAGGACAGAAATGTTGGACATTTGAACCAGGATGAATTCGGTTACGTTATAAAGCTGAAAAAACTCCAGAGCTGTGAATTGAATCCTTCAGATAAACAACATGAAGAACAACGGATGAATTTTTAAAGATATTTGTGATTTTTTTTTAAAAATCTGAAAACAATAAAGTTTGCAATTCTCCAGCCCTCTGCTGGCCATCTGAGAGAATACAGGTTCACTTCACAGTCTGCGTCCATTGTTTTAATACAGTTTATGAGTTTAACCATAAACCTTTTAAAATAAATCCAAATTAAAAATCAAGCATAAATTATGTCGTAATTTTCTGATGACACAAATTCACACTTTGTTTTTGTTTTTTTCTGAAGGATTCGACGGAACTCGTTGAAGCTCAGATGTGGTCGCTGATCCGAACCGTGCGAGTAAGAGAACCTCTAGAACTAATGTCTAAGCTGCTCTACGACACAGAGCCGACGCTTCGCTACCGCGTCACCAGCAAACTTACGTCATCAAAACTCCAGCGAACCCTCTGAGGAGACCAGAGGCAAAGGGAGACAACACCAACTTTAACAGTCAAACTGTGTGAGAGGTTGTTTGTGTCGTGTTTCACTATGAAAGGCCACTGATGTACAAAATACTTAAATACAAACCAACCTGTTACTATCACTGTAGTATTCTGACCTCAGATGGAATTTAAATACTAAGGATTTGTCTTGTCAAACACAAAGTCTGCAGATACTTTCTCTGCAAAATGTTTTGCTTTATATTTTCTTTTCTCCAACATTTTACACGTTACCGATTTAATTTTGAGACGACAGATAACATTCAGAGATTAAATAAAATGTCTGAACCATCTGTAATTCACTGCGTCTTTAAACTACCTGATTTCTGTTTCATTAGATTCATGAACTTACATCTGGCCAAAACCACTGACCTCACCTGAGACTTTGCAGCTCCACCTGCCTCTGGCCTACTGCTGCTGCTACCAGGGTTTCCCTGATAAAATGATGCACGACATTCACAGGATAGAATAGAATAGGATGTGAGCGTGTTATGACTCATGTGGCACACAACTGATGTTCAGACCCAATCATCTAATCAAGGAATGATCCCAGATCACACGTACTGTTACCACCTGAATTTAATGTTCATGTACGGTTTCTCACCTCTCGTTCCCGGTCAGATTTAGAAAGTCGCATCTGTCTGAGCATCTGGGACCTCTGCTCCATCATCAGGGTCCGTTCATACGTGTACGCACTGATGTCACTGTCGTGCTGAGCGGAGACGAGGAGAAAATAAAAAGAGATGATGTTAATTCTCAGCAGTATTTCAGTTACAAGAAATCCAACAGAGTGAGACATCTTTCCAAAGATGGTATTCTCCTAAAAGATCTTTCCCATCACATCAATACTTTTAACTCATCAACTTTATATTTCTGAGCTTCAGCGTTGAGATGAAAATAAAACAAGTGCAGTGAGCAGCGCACCATCTCGACCACTTCCACCTCAGCCTCGATGCGTAGGTGATAGAGGAAGGTTGCCAGATCCTTCTTCATCTGAATTGAATTATCCTCCATCTGGGCGACTGTGAAGATTCTCATCCCACATTTACGCCACGCCTGAGGAGGAGAGAAGCGTCAGACAAAGTCGCCAGAAGCTTCGCAATACTTTCGAGTCTAAAAAAGATATGGTAGATGTATTTTAGTACCTTGTGCTGGCGCAGGAGGAAGGGCAGCAGCATGAGCATCCCCCCGTCGTGGACAATCCACCAGACGTCGATGTAGCCCTCGGTGCACGGTTCACTGTTGCTGGGGAACAGAGAGATGTTTTTGGGCACCAGCAGGGCCAGGTGACCGGCTGTCGTCACCCGCACTGTGTCTGCGAGGAAGAGAGGGGGCGTCGTGAGACTGCTATGTTTGAGACAGCTATCATTATCACCCTGTGATTCTGTGCCTCCGCAAAATAAGACTCGTCTTCTAACTTAGTCAACAGATGTGACGGTTCAGAGCTGTCGGACTCACTGATGAAGGTTTTCCAGGACTGCGGGTCCTCGCTCTGCCTCCAGGCGTGAGGCCAGCCCATCACCACGGTGTTGGGTTTCATTCCTCCCAGGCCGCTCGACTGGATCATGTGGCTGATGCCTTCACGGGGCTTCTGGGCCACGATGCACTGACAGAAGCCCTTCACACGCTCCTTGTCCATCAGGTGCTTCAGAGTCTGAACAGAACAAACACCGGTGAGATGATGAACGTTTTCTCTGCCTTGGTCTCGAGTTTACTGGAGCAACAGAGAGACAAAGCTTTATGTTTGTGACTCGTCACCAGTGTTCAATCCTGTGAAGATCATTTCCTACCTGTTCAGCAGCGAGCGCCTCTCCGTAGCTCTGCAGGAAGTTTCCAGAGACGACGGTGCCGACGATGGTCAGGCCCTTTCCCGCCTTCAGCTGGCTGGCAAACGTCAGCAGGCGAGGAGACTTCACGTGGGCGTCTTCGTCCAGTTTTAGTAAAACTAAGAGCTGGGGCCTGAAGAATAAAAGGCAAGAAGACAAGCAGGACATGGATTCACCTGTAACATCAAGAGGATCTTTTCTCTGTGAGCCAGTCTCCTCATCGTTCTGTATCTTAAACTGTTTAAATGTTCTCGTGAATAAAGACGTGTTCATGCTGTGGTTCAGTACCTCCAGTTCTTGGTGTGTGGTGGTCCCTCTTCCAGCCTCAGGAGGGCGTAACGGGCAGCACTGAGTGAGAGACCGCGGATCCCATCCCCCCACTCTTTCTCCGCTCTGACACACACACACGTTTAATAAATATATATATATATGAGGGTATAAAGATTTATATACTCTTATATGTCATATGTATTCTGTGACCTCCTCTGACAAACAACCACAAAAACACACTAACACACATCACTCCTGATCATGCAGTACATGTACAACCATGTAAAGGGGAGGGGGGGGGGGAATACAGCTCCATGGCAACATACCCTTGATACTCGATATATTTGTAGATCATGCCTGCGATCACCATGGCGATGATTGCGTAGTACCAAGAGGATATGAACATCAGCCCCAGGCAGATGATCATCCCCAAAAATGACAAGCTCCTGGACACAGACACCAGAGGCAGAGATCAGCTGCTTTCAGACGTTCACTGAAGTCTGGACATTGTCCTGAATGTGTGTGTGTGTATGTGTGTGTGTGTGTGTGTGTGTGTATGTGTGTAAACATACCAGTGGTAGTAGGAGAAGCGTGGTCTCCAGTTGGGCGTTCTCAGGAGGGTCTGCAGGCCACAGGCCAGGTTAACGAACAGATAGCACATCAGGAAGAACCTAGAGGGAGAGAAAATGAATCAATCATAATAATAATAACAACAAGTGTGAGATAGATACACACACACACACACACACACACACACACACACAGCTGTGTCTCACATTGTGAGGATGGGTGCCACCAGGTCCAGAGAGGCGATGAGAATCCCCAGCTCAGCGATCAGGCCCGTCAGCAGCAGGGCCCAGGTTGGCTCCCCATTAGCCTTCCCATGTCCAAACACCTGGAGGAGTGAACACACGCACAGAGGCAAGTAAATCAACTGAGAATGTGTTAAAGGGACAGTTCACCCTGTTTAGCTGAGGTTATGATTCAGCTGTGACTTGTTGCCTTCGGAAAACTGTTTTAAAAATATTTGCAAACCCGGAGGAAGGGGATGATGTTGTCCTTGGCGATGGCCTGCAGGAGTCGCGGAGCACCGGTCAGTGACTGCAGGCCCGCGCCACACGTGGAGAAGAACGAGCCGATGACGATGACCCAGGGAGTCGGCCAAGCCAGAGTCCCCACCACGAGATTTCCTTTCACTGAGTCGCCAAATCTGCCGGAGGAAAAAATACGGGTTTTTAAATTTTTGTAGCCGCGGATAAAAATACTGCAACTGGTTCTTTTACCGCAACAAGCCACACAAACATAAACAGACTGATTCGAGAGCAGTACTGACTTGTCTCTGAGGACCACCCCGTCGATGCAGGCTCCGAACAAGATGACACTGGTCAGGTCTGGATGGAGGCACTCAGGGAAACGACAGTCCAATCAAATTAAATCAGTTATGCATTGAGCTAAAGCGAGAGTTTTTATTAACACAAGTTCAGTTTTGGGGAGCTGTCATGTCGTCTATTTTTATTTAAAGTCTGCGGTCGTGATTCTGGTTCTTATACTGACTCATATCAAGTTACGAGAGGATACAGACGATGGAGGTGGTGAGGATAGCGAGGATGGTTCCAATGGGGATTGAGCGCTGGGCATCTTTCAGATCCCCCGACCGGTTGGAGCCAGCCATTATCCCTGAGCGAGAGAGGGAAAGCATTAAGAAGAACCGGGGATCATTTGCTGTTCTAGAGTTTCAGGGAGAGAAAATTACCAAAAAAAAAGAAAACAAGTGTGTACCTGTGACCGAGGGGAAGAAGATGCCGACCAGCAGCGTGAACGAGGTGGTGATGTCAGCAAACACATAAGGCTGGTGGTTGGACGCAGGATGTGCAAAATGAGAGGAGTTGAGGGAGCCTTTCTCCACCACGTCACCTTTACTGAGGTAGGAGCTCCACGCGTTCTCTGTGAGGATGAGATACAACGAGTATTAAGTTAGTACTGTCCGTGCCTGCTCCTGTGATTTCAAATTACAGTTACACACACACACACACACACACACACACACACCTGAAATGATCCCACTTGCCAGACCGGGGATCCCTTCAATCTCCGAAAAATTGTTGGACATGAAGTATTCGTCACAGTTGAGCTCTGGGCCCTGGCAGAACTGCTTCCAAAGATATGTGGTGTTGTCCACCTGAGCAGGACTGGGGCTGGGGTCAAAGGTCGGACCTGCCGTGCTGTTTTCTATCGGGACGGACACAGTACGTGATGAAAACTGAGTGATGGGACTAAGCTGGCTAACGTCACGGATCTTCCTCTGATACCCACCACTGGTGATTGTGAAGTTGACGTCATCTCTGTCCACTGGCTCACTGACCGGCAGCTGGACGGTCTTTGCACACACGCTGTCCACCACTTCATGCCCGTTGATGGTTCGGTTTCCCAGCATGCACACGCTGCAGACAGACACATCAGTCAGCACGTGACAGTTCAGGGATTGGTCAGCGTTTAAAAAATAAATAAATAAATAAATACTTACGGAAACTGTGGCGGTTTGAAGGCGGAGACCAGCGCTCCGACATAGATGGAGACGATGGAGACAATGACACAGGCCAAGAAAATGGAGGCTAGTTTGTTGACGTACTTAACGCCCACAAAGACCAGCAAGGACATCAGGAGGAGACAGATGGAGCCGTAGACACGCATGTTGTTCAACATGGCTGCCCCTTCGCCTTCGGGGGACTTGGACTCAAAAATGGCCGCCTTGGGTGCTATGTACATCTGGAGGAGGGAGGGAAGTAAAAGTAGTTAATTTAAGGCAATAACTTCAATAATATAATCAGAACGTGCAAATACAAGAATCATAATTGTGCAGATCATTTTCAGGGCAAACTGAATAAGAAACTGAGAATTGAGGAAAAACTTTGATGGTGAATTAAAATCAAATCTGTCCTTTAAGCATTGCTGCTTCATAAAATGAATAAATTATTACAAATGGGTGCTAATGCTAACTAGAATAAAAGCAGACATCAGGGCGGTGATAAGAAAATGACATCAATAACTTCTAATGATGAAGATGAAAACTCACCAGCAGGATCTCGATGGCTCCCAGGATGTACATGGCTCCAGCAAAGGTGGTGCCCAGGTAGAAACAAATGCCCACCGCCCCCCCAAACTCCGGACCCAGAGAGCGACTGATCATGAAGTACGAGCCTCCCGCTGGAGAGACGGAGGAGAGAGAGGGAGGGAGAAGAAGAGAAAGAGAGCGAGGCAGGTGGTACATCAGGATTTGGAGAGATGAAAATGTGGAGGGAAAGAGAAAGTACGGAAGAAGAAAAAATAAAGATAAGGGTGGAAAGAGATGAGGAGGGGGAGGAGGAACAGAAGAGAAGGAGAAAGAAAGACAAGGAGAGGAGATGGGACATAAAAAGAGAGATGGGATGGATGGTTAGTAACAATTTGATGTTAGGAGGTAGAGGGGAAAAAAGAGGAGCGCTGATGAGAAGTCAATGTTCGTAGAAATAAGTGCTAAGTTCTACATGAAACATTGATGCAAGAAGACAGAGCAGATCTTTGGTCAAATAGTATCTGCAAACGTGAGTTTCCATATCTGTACCAACACTTTTACTGATTACAGAACTAATTCAAAATAAACCCAGTCCGTGCTGCAGATGGTATCTACACAACTCAAACTCCAAGTGAGCTCGGAAACACGGCAACAATAATTTGCTGATACAATTTGAACCAGTTTTTTTTTTTAAAGATAACATGAAGGTATCATCAGCATCTACATGTTCACTACTGATCTGAAGTCCACAAATCAGTGTTTGGTTTCCAAAATGCACCTTTAACAAAGAGCACTTGCACATATTGTGTGAATTAGACAAACACACGGTTAAAAATGGCTGTATGATTGTTAACGTTGCAGGTTTTCAGTTGCACGAAATACGAACAACATATTCAACAGATAAAGTAAAACCGCTGCAACAGATACTCAGGAAGTGTTTGAGTTTTTGAGCAGGAAGGACTGCTCCAAAATACTGTCTCCGGAAAACTTCATGAGCTCAAAATATAAAAGTATAACAACAAAACGGCTTCAGTCCTCAGTGGAATGACGGAGAGGGATTTGGGAAGCCAAACACTTGTGGTTAACTCCTTTACTTTCATCCATAGACTGCAAATAAAGATGGACGGAGACAGAAAGAAGCTAAAAAGACACCGGTGACGCCATCTTGTCCTTTTTGACGTCTTTTGGCGTCTGCACAGTATTGAGCGTGGTGTGGAGTCGCAGAATCAAGATCTGAATAAATCAGATTCAGGGTTTTCCCTCCACAGAATTAATTCAATCCACGGTGATAGAAGTTCAGAGAAGCTGCCGTGTCGTCCGTCTTTCTTTACAGTCTATGTTTTAACCACAGGAAACAACACAGTATTTACTACCATCGTGAACTAGATGGTGAGAAAGCACGAGAGCTCAAAAAAGTATGGAAATGAAATGTACGTAAGACGTGTTAGAGATTAATTCTCTATGTTACCTACCGAGAGTTTTGCTTTCTACGTTCAGTTATTACAACGTCACATGCTCGTGGAAATATCATACTTTGGCATTTAGGATACTCGGCTAGAGGCATTTTAGTGAAAGGTAAAGTCAATGGCGGATAAATATACTGGTGTGTGCAGACAGAGAGGGAGAGGTGGACAGAGGGAGAGACAGGACAAAAAGAAACGACATTTATTAGAGGAAGAAAATGCACTTCATCAACGCTGGCGTAGCGGGAGGATGAGAAGGAAAACTGGGGGGAAGCTGCCTGGAAGAAGGGACAGAGCGTTTTTTACATTTTCATGATTTTGTCACAGAAAATTTTTTGGGATCTTCGTGAAAAGAATCTTAGTCTATTTAGGGAACTGATATTTACATGTGTGGAATTTAGTCCAAAAATAATCAGAAACCTGCAGATTTAAATTTAAAACTCTTCGTGCTTCCACCGTTAACTTCATGAATTAATTGTCGGAGGTCACACCGATGCCATTTGTTCCACCTGTACGGAGAGGATGAAGAGGAAGAGGAGGAGAGGTGAAGACATACCTGGTACGACTCCGTTCGTGGCGATTGCACTCATCGATATCGCAGTCAACATCGTCTGAAATGGAACAAAGAGACGAACAGCAAAGGTTTTAAGTTAGAAGGTTTTTAAATATCCGTCTGATCCTTTCTATGAGCAGCTACAGAGCCCAATACTCACACAGCAACAGCATAGGAAGACAATACAGAGCGCCTGCAGCACCCCGGCATTCCCCACCACCCAGGTCAACCGCAGGAACAAGATGACGCCGAAGATGTTCTGCAGGCAAGGCAGGTACACCCCCATGAACGTCCCCATCTGTGGCGACTGGAGGGAAACAAAACAAGTCAGCATCAAAACAAACACAGCACCTGGTCCTAAGTTCAGTAGCTATAATATCATAAAACAGGATCAAGTGACAGCTGAGACGATGGAGTCATGAAGTTAATTTAATTTTATGATTCATTAATTAATGAATTAACTTTCCGTTCACCATCTCACTCGTGCATCCATTTTAATAAGTTAAGCCCTGACAAGTGGTTGAGCTACACTGCACCACCGCAACACACCAGACTTAATTCAATGTTTATCCTCAACACACAGTGTGGCTGGAAGGAGGATTACAAATGTTTTGGTTCAACTTTCACTGCCTTCTGTCGGCAAATAAGATCCTGCAAACAATCTGAGCAGGGTCGGTAAATTAATCTGAACCGCCACAACAGAGTCTTATCTCGGCCGCCGGAGCCTTATCAGCCGAGAGACATCCTCAGCACTTTCACTTCGAGTCGATAGTTACAGATTAGACAGGGACTCCAGGTTAAATCTTGAATTTTAACCTTAAGAGATCCGTCTTGTTTCCTTCCTTTTTGTACCTTGGTGATGTTTGAAGTCGCAGTTACACGTTCTGTTAAACTTATAAAAGTCTGTGATCATTCTAAACTCTTAGAACAATCATCCTCTTGGTTACGAGTGCTGTAGTTTAACACTGCACAGCAAGACAAAGTACAATCGGATGATATTCTATGTGCAGCTGCTGTCGTGAGCTTGTGTCTGGGGCATTCCTGATGCTGGCATCAGAACAACTCTACTAAATTCTGATAAGATTCTTTTATTGTGGGGACGGCTCTGGTTGTTACGTGCTTCACTTTGCTTTTATTACTTTACTGCATCTTTTAAATTTCTCTCCAGGAGTTTGCAGGTGATGTTTACCTTGCCAGGTTTCTTCTTCTCTCCGATGCTCTCAGCCTCCTCGTGCTCCTTGGCCCCCTGTGTCAGGTTGGTGTAGTTGGCCAGACGACTGAGCAGAGACGACACCTTCGGCCGAGTGTCCATCTCCTCCTGTGAGATGAAGAAGTGGAGGGTAGAGATCGCCAGGGGGGAAAGAAAATGGGGGAAAGAAATGACGGGAAAGCATGGAAGGGCATAAACAAGGGTGAATAACGTTGTTGGAGATAAACGATTGTTTCCAGGAAATATTTAATCCATAAAAATAATCCACAAATCATTCTTTAGCATATTTATAACATGATTAAAATGTGTTTCCAACACTGACAGTTTTATAAATGTTGTATTTCGAACCTCAAATAAGGCCAAGTTTCTGTCGTAGAAATCATCATCATCCACCCCGTGACTGTTGTTGATGTACACGCTGGAGATTTTAGAGTTTGCGTCACCTGGACACAAACAAAGACAGAATGAGACAAAGAGAAGAGGGACGCAGCCTCTTCAGTTAGCCTGGACACACTGCTCGCCATTTTCATCGCCGCCACCGCGGCTTTCTGAGGTCGAGTCGCTCTCAGATTCATTTCTCCCTCACACAGACACGCACAGAGTTTCATACATTGTCACCAGTTCAATTCCACCTCAGGCAGCACAGACCTCTGCATCAGCAGACCCTGAGTCAGCAACATCACTTCCCTCTCAGCTCCGACACTGTCACGCTAACGGCAGCGAGCGGCCGGATGCAGCGATGCACTTAAGTGAAGGACCCGAGAGCCGTTTCATGTCAGAGTCAACTGTCATAACAAGATTGTGTGATCAGAAAAAACAATCTTACTCTTTGTTATCAACCATAAATTCTAATTTGTTATATTAACAGAGAAAAGTAAAACACAAATGATTTATCACATGGTCAAAATAAAATCCCATATAATAATAATAACTTTATTTGTACAGCACTTATCTAAACAAGGACACAAAGTGCTTCACACAAAAGAATCCTCATAAAAATGAAGAATGAATTCTGATAAAAGGTTTTAAGAGCCGCATCATTACATGAAGAGGTCAAACAGCTGATGAGTCGTTCACGGACATATCATGTCAGCGTTTATGTTTGTCGATATGAAAACTTTCATATTACAGAAGAAACAAATGCAGAAAAACTCTTTGGCTGTTGGATTTTGTGTCATTACACAGTTAAAATAAACTTTATGGTGATTAGTGTTGAGTTACATTTGGGTTTGATAACGACATCTTTATTGATCATATGTATTTTTTAATAAATAGTGGCATCAGATAGGATGGACTGATATCTAGTGTGTACAATTTGTTGGGCCTTGGTGGACGGACGCTCTTCACTTTTCTTTTTCCAGTGAAATATCGTTTACATTCATGTCTTCAACAACTACTCACAACCTTCGCGCAGAGAAAAGTAAACTTAATTTAAGCAGAATAAGCGAATAGTATTAAGAACCACTGTTTTACATTGTCACCACGGATTCATATTGTAGAGCCCAGACAGAAAACTGCACGACGCACAAGCTGAAACATCATAAAATGCATCAGCTACCTTCACTCTCTTATCAACCAGCTTCATTTTTAGAACAGAGCATCTGCTGGTTACACAAGAAAGAAATACCAGCATGTGGCTGGTGGGCGGTAACTTCCCATCACGTTCACACATTCCTCAGTTTGGCCCAGAGACAGAGTGTGAAACCGCTGGTTAATATTCAGCGGCTGAAGCATCTTGGCACGGTGGGAAAAGATTAACCAACATGCTAATTGGGCTTTTTTTTTTTTTTTTTGCTAATCTTTTCCTACATAGCATGAAAAGGTGTTTTGGATAATTACTGATGCACGTCAGTGAAGACAGTTCACACGTTAGTCAGAGCATGTCCCTCTGGTTTGTTTAACGTCTAACCTGTTCATCAGAGACCTCGTCAGTGTCCTATGACACTTCCTGAACGCTCAGACTGTCTCTGATCAGCCTGACGACGGGTGTGGAGTGGTTAACAATTATAGAGCCCAAGTTACCGCCCGGCAGATTTGAGCCTTTCACAGACACTGTATCAGCATTTATATTTGTTGATATGACAAATACATTCATTACAGAATGAACAATGCTGATGAGCTGTTTATTAACTTTGGAATATTTATGTTTCTATTTGAGGTGATTTGCGTTTATGAATAAAAATAAAAAGTAAAATATCAAGCTTCAATTACATTTCTGTGTTATTATGTTTTGATAACATCCTGGTAAATGTTCTCTATGTAAAGATGAAAATATAAAGACGTATGTCAGCCATCTTCAAAATGATCTATTCATTCTGCAGATCCTGTTCCTCAACTTGACTTTTCTAACTTTGTTGACTGAGGGTCATTGTGTTTCCAACAGGTCAAACAAAACGAGACACATGACGACATCAGCTTGAGCTTAGGGAACTCGTGAAAGACAAACTCATTTACACTCTATACAAACGACACAGTCGTGTACTTGTGGTTCACTGGTTCACGCTTTTTCTCATCTGTGAATATTTTTAAACGACACACTACAAATATCTGCCCTGCCGGCCTTGTGTCCGTCTGTGCCTCTGCAGAGGATCTAGTCAATTGCAGAAAAATAACAGTCCTGTAAATAGCTCCGCTGTTAAACTGCAGCACTCACGCTCAAGTTAACACAGAGGAACACAGCTGTCCACTAACCCCCGAGAGATCAGCACACCTCAGTGTGAGGCACTGTGTGTGTGTGTGTGTGTGTGTGTGTGTGTGTGGACATCAAATCCAACATCTAACTTTATTGGCATCAAAACTAACGGATCACGGAGCTTTCGACCTTTCTGTAAATAACGCTCTTCCTCCAGCCTCTTCTCCTCTCCAGGATCTCCACTCGTTCGTTTTAACCACAGCATTACTCCCGTCCGCTCGCTGCTTTTCTATTTGAGCCACCGGGGGTAGCGCACGCCTGCTCCGCTATTTCTGATATTTCTTGCGTGGGTGACAGACTGAAAGACAACAGCGCTCTGTATTAACGGCCACGGCATCACAACAGCCTGATCGAAGCTCAATCGGATTAACCAGCTCGATTTCTATTTATGGAAGCTCATTAAACAACGTGGGGCATCCTCACTACTATGCAACTGCTTGAGTGGATCAGTGAAGCTAATACAGTTACATCTCACCTGGACTCTCACACGTCTTTGTGTCAAACTAGACTCGGACTACATCCACACATTTTCTAATTGAAAAGATCTCTGTCCAAGTGTTTTGGCTCGGGATGAATTTCAATCCCTGTCCACACTAACACGCCTGACATTGCCTTTTGGTTGTTAGTGGCTCACGTTACAGCTCGTCTCCTACGCAGGTAAACAGTTGTGTCATTGTGTAAAATACACAAATGTAACCACACGAGCTGTTAGCAAACACAACAGGGTCAGTAATGTTGTAATGAATGATGCTGGTGGTTTTCAGCTCATCCGTAGCAGAGGTGATGCGTTTTCAAATGAAAACAAAGCGGTGGGGGTGAAGCTTTTCCAAGATGCAGATCTGCACTTGAAACTGAGCGCATGTGAAAAGGTTTCTGCTGTCAGCTAACATCGGGTTAGGAACTGAATCGGTGGATGTGCTGAGCAGCAGCAGCAGCAGGTGGGGGATGTGAAACCTACACTATGATCACAATAGGTGCATATTTCAGTCCTCTCATTGTTCTCACCTCCGGCTCAGTGCAGTAACGATGGCGTTGAACTAATGCTCAATTTGTCCTGGACCCCCTGAGGGAGCACCCTGGAGACAAGCACTTACTTAGGAAACAAACGGGCGAGCTTAATGACCCAGAGAGCCATAAAACACATTTAAAAAAAACCGTCTTGTTAAACTTGACACATGCGTGAGGATGAATCTGAAAGTAGCACTTCTCTATCGACTTCCCATTGAACACATTTTGTACACAGAGCTGTTTAAACCCTTTGTGAGCCTGAATATCTTTCGTGCCTCACTCCCACAATGATGGTCCAGCTTGAACACAGCACGATAGATCTGGTGTTTCCCACAGAACTGAGCTCCACCACAGACTGTCAGTGAAGATGGATGACCCATCTCCAGATCCTCTCACGATCCACAAATGAAGCCAAAATATTGCACATAGCAACGCTGCCACTTTTCTAGTTAAGAGCCAGAGCTTGTGCAGTGGCGGTCGTGGTATAGAGCGGCGGTATTAAGGGCCTGCCGATACGAGGAATAAAAGAAGGAAGAGCAGATTTCTGTGGTTGAGGTGGAACTGTTACAGTGACTGATAAGAACCAATCAGGAAGTGATTTGCAAACCCAGACTACAACGCAGCCCCGGAGGCAGCAGCGTCAACAAACTTTAGGTCATGCTTGAAAACACAGAAGTGTGGACAACAACAGCAGAGATGAAAACTAAAATGTTGTAGTGTGGATGTCGCAACCACACCCGTGTAACCACGGTGCACAGAGGGGGGAAGGTGTCATACTGAGTTCTTCTACACTTAATGTTCTTGCTTTCACTCTTACATGTCCTTCATGCTCAAAGAGATTTCCCTCCGAACCACCACTGATTTGTCTTTTACAGAATTTGTCCAGTGACGACGTGCTGCTGACAAAGGGAACCTCTCCCAGTGCAGGGATTATTCAAGCATCCACAGGTTCATGTGTTGGAGGAAGTGTGACATTACGTGCTTATTTCTCAGCCGGCTGGCTTACACGTGGATTAAGCTGTCTGTATCTAAGCAGTTAAGATTATATGAGGGATTACATACATAATAGAGTGACACGTTATGCAGACTGCTATGATCTGCATGTGAGGAGCAGTCTAGCCAGCGTGTTTGTCCACCAAACCGAGAACACGCCTCGTGATGCATGTTCAAACATTTCAAAAAATCTACTCGTGTCTCATCTGTACTTCTCGTGTGCTCTTCACCTTGCTCTGTGTTGCTGTGGTCGGGCGTCTCCATCCCTCCTCCTCCCCCTGTGGCAGTCGTTGTCGACGTCTCGCTGAGCGGGTCACTCCGATTGACGCTCTCCCTGGAGCCGAAGCGCACACGGGCGCCGGAGCGGGAGCTGATGTCAGGGGATGTGTCGGACAGCCCCGGGAGGTCCTCCGCCTTGGTGGGCGTCACCGTGAAGCGCACTGATGCCATGGCAACTCACTTGGAAAAGTTAAGAAGTGGAGGGGAGAGGATGTTGTAAGGGATGGAGGAGAAGATGGACCCCAACCCTGGGGGAGGGGTGGTCACAGACAAGCTAACAGGGCTGTGCTGACCTGAGCTGAGCTAGGCGAGGCTAGGCTATCTCCCAGGTGATGCTGAGGTATCGGCGGCCTCTACAATTTGTCCTTTTGCAACTGCAGTTCTCCATTGAAGCAAACTGGTCGTTTACCACCAGGCATGTGAAAGAACAGATACCACAGGCCTCTTTCTGTGACCACGAGTGTCCGATTGTAATGGTTTTATAACCGACCCCAGCACAGGACTAACTTCTTCTAACAAATATGTGTGTCAGTAGCTTCTGGCAGCTAATAGAGATGAGTTCACATTCACAAACACCTGAGGGGCGTCTGCTCTTGTGATTTCACACTAAATCTTTATCCGTCTTCTACATTAAACTGATCCTGTGCTTCTGCGCTTCTTACAGATAATTTCAACCTCAGGATTAGAGTCACAAACTGGTCTTCCTCTCAAACGCAATTAAATAAAATATGTCTGGAGATAAAAACCCATCGGTGGCCACAGCAAGGGCAGCAGAGGAAGACATGGAGGGGGAATGAAGGGAGAGAACAGAGAGGAGAGAAGAGAGAGCAGAAGTTAGTTTATAAAACAAAGACTGGTCAAAATGTTCAGGAACACAGTATCTTAATGAGAGACGTGGAAGGAGGCTGCATGTCCACATCTATATTGTGCATTTATACTAATATAGCAGCTGATGCATCTATAACATATTGCACGCACAAGAAAGTTGAAAAAGAATCACTGTAGCTCGTTGTTTGTCTCTTTAAGTTTCCCTCACGCTCTTATAAATCAACAGAGGCGGGTTCCAACACGTCATTCTGCACAATAAAATGTCAGCAAAGCAGTGGTTACTGGTTCAGTGACTGAGTTTTCATCCTCCCACCACATGACAGCTCTCTGGATGAGGGAGGCGTGAAACAATAACCAGTGTGAACCTCAGTGTCGGCCCAGGAGCGTGTCAGGTGCAAAGTCAGCTCGCTCCGCGGTGTTGGGGAGGGGAATTGACAGAACAGTTGGATATGGCTGAATGGTTGTTTTAGCTTGGTTGATAATTTAATTATTAAAAGCAGGGCAGTTTGAACCGGTTGTGCTGGAAGCTGCTGCCGGTTTTCTCTCACTCTGCATGCAGGGGCATGGCACAGGTTCCTGATTTACAACGCAGTCTCCCTCACTCTTTGACAGGAGATGGACGGACTGCAAGGTGGGGAAGATGGAGGACGCTCGTCGTCTTTAATGAGTTCCTTTGCACAGGATTCCAGCTACGTTCAGCCGACTCAGTGGAGGGTGGGGGGGGGGGGCGGGGGGGGGGGGGGGGGGCATGTCCTATCTTAGCGTGCATTGTGTGTGAAAGGCTGAGAAACACCCAGGAGAGATTATTAGTCCAGACAAACACA